AAAGCACACCCGAGGAAGACATCTCGAGAACCTAAAACTGTTCCCTGACTGCAGATTGCCAAGCTTCAACATCCACGACAGAGAACACAAAAATATGAATTTTGTTAACTGTTACTGTAATTTAAAAAAGTTATTGCACTATTTGTTAACTTATATGTTTACACTGTTCTAAAGTTCTGTTAACTTAATTTTTCCTTTTTGTAAAATTTAAAAGAGTGATATGTTGCAGTGCGCCTCCCGGAGACAGAGGTTTCTGTTGCCTCTTTGTCCCCAAACATGGGCACACATCCAGAATTTTCCACCTTTCCCAGGTTGTGGTTGGCTTAGCCACCACAAGACCAATCCCCTAACACCCATTGGACCCCTGACCTGTCGGTAACCCATCCAGGTATCCTTACAGGACAATGCCTTTGTAAACCCACCTACCTACCTGTTAAAAACCCCTGGCCCCAAGGCCACATGCTCTTTCGCTTCTCCCCTGGGGTGGGTGCTGTTTCAGTGCCTGCCTCAGGTGTTTTTTGTTTGTTATTTTCATGTTATTAAAACCTTTTATTTTGGAAGAAAGCGATCGTTGCCCATCCCTCCTTTACTTGCCACTGTCCTCCTCTTCGCTGAAGACCACCCTGGAGGTACTACTGGGGTACTGCTGGGGGTGTTTTCTTCCCGGGCAAAACCAGCGGGTTTTAAAACCCCTCAAAATATAGTTTTTGATAAGTAATAAGTAACTAAGAATACAGGTACTGAAATCACCATTTCTGCTCTAGATATTACACTAATTCCAATGACCAATATTGGTGTTAGCTACTAGTGCCTGTTCTTGAACCATTTTCCACTTCTATTCCATTAGTTCATATTTCCATTTGTCTTCTATGTGCATCTTTCTACTCACCTCTATGTCATACACATTAAAACAGCATGAAGTGAAAGAAAATTACAGAAGCAACAGGAACAACTTCAGGAATGCAGAAAAAGATGGACTTTGTTCAATAAAGTACGACAGCGTGTTTCTGCATGTGAATAGCTAGGTTTTCCCATTTGCAGGTATTAAATAATCACATTTCTATAAGAGAATTATCAGGAGGAGGAAGGAGGCAGAGCTCTGCTGGAAATCTTCAGAAGTTGAAGTTACTGAATATAATTAAGATCAGTAGGACAGAAGCAATAGAGGGAAGTAAAAGATGAGGGCTTTGGCACATATTTGCCTTCCTTTTTGAGTGTCTGTGGTCAGCAGTGTCTGGAGCCTCCAGTGAGAGGGACTGGAGAAGCTGTAGCAGACACATGAAAGAGTCCTCAGCCAGGCCAATAACAAGTCTGCTCAGTGCTCCCCGCAGACCTGATCACCCAGCCAAGACAGAGAGGTCTGTAAGGGAATGGGTTATGGTTTTACACCCTGTGGAAAGGGACAACAGACTGTATCTCACACCCTGCCTTCTGTGTCATCTAGCTGCAAAATGACAGCTGTGTACTCTGTAAAATGCACACTTGAAAAGAGACCAGACGGGTGTCAATCACAGCAGGCAATTTCCTTCACTCTTCAAGTAGACAATGAACATACAAATACAATAGAGGCAGTAGTAGAAATCTACCTGAAGGCTTATCCAATTTAGTTTCATATGCTACCCATGAAATTATTTTTTAATGTCCTTCCAAAGCTATGAATGTCTCTACAGGATAAAAGACCTGTTGAATATTGCTTTGTTTTTCTGCAGAATGACGTCTGCTGTCCTATATTCAATGCAAACACAAAGTAACAGCTTCTTTGCCTTTGCCCTGTATTTCATTTTTGTACAATTGTTTGGCAGGTATGTATCAAGATGCATGTATAAACTCTTGTCCCCTCTACAACATCCCAGTCATCAAGAAAACTGAAAAGCTGGTCAAAAGTAAACAGTACATTTTGGTTTGGGTCCAGCTGAATTGAATTCCTGAGCTATGCCAATTTCTTATGTAGTTTTGATATTTCTTTATGTTCACTTAAATGCCCTGGCAAAAAAAAAGAAATGTATGTTTATATTTCCTTTTTTTAAAGAATAAACTCAATATATAAATAGTTCGCAATTAAAAAAATCTTAGAATACAAAAGGCCATAAATGTCCAAATTTTACGTGTTTTTGGGGAATGCAACTGAGATAATTTTGGTCTGGCAAGACTGCTTTCAAAATCTCAGATTAACCAGAACATCATCTGCCTCTTGTCTTCAAAAGAATCAATTAAGCACTAGACTTCACTATGAATAATTGAGACATATTAAACATGTAGATCAGAATATAGATCAGAACCTCTTAGCAAAACTTATATGTGGAGTTGCATTGGAAGCAGACCCTTTCTTGTGACAAATTGTTTGGGTCAATATTTGAGTACACGACATGCATAGAAAAGTCTTGAATACTGATGATAAGAGTATTGATTACACTTTTTTTTCCAGATTCATTTCCTGCT